TGAGACAGAGTCTCGCTGTGTTAACCAGGCTGGAGTGCAGTGGCAAGATCTCGGCTCACTGCAACCTCTGCCTCCTGGGTTCAAGTGATTCTCGTGCCTCAGCCACCCAAGTAGCTGGGATTACAAGCGCCCACCACCATGCCTGGCTGATTTTTGTATTTTTAGTAGAGATGGAGTCTCACCATGTTGGCTAGACTTGTCTCGAACTGCTGACCTCAAGTGATCCTCCCACCTTGGCCTCCCAAAGTATTGGGATTCCAGGGTGAGCCACCGCACCTCGCAAAAATGGATGTAATCTGTTCAAGTCCCTGCTTTCAGTTCTTTTGGGTGTATAGCCAGGAGGTGTTTTTATTTTCGTAGTAACTTAAAAAAAAATTATTCTGACTACTTAATGATAGCTCCTGTTCTTTTTTGATAATCAAAAAACTAAGAACCTGCTCTCATGTTTGTATGTGAGACCGACGTTGGAATTTTAGTACATTCCATTTCACTCATGGAATATAAGAAGCTGCTGAGGAGAGCAGCTTAGGTTACAACGAGAGAAAGTGAAGCCACTCACTTTGTCATTTTAAAAGAAACTTGATGAGTGTTCTCTGGGTCTGCTGATAACGCAGTGTATCAGAGAAAGGCATTGTGTGCCAAGAAAGGAAGATGATTGTGCAGGGTTATAACTAAGGACACTGCCTCAGTGCAGAACTCATTGACATTTAATAAATAATGAACAAAGGCAGTGAGGCTGAGATTTTTTGAAATTACACTGGCCTTAAAAGTCTTGCAAAAATGTAAACTCAATAAAATATTTCACAGGCATTTCTTCTCCTTATGCTTATTTTTTCCCAGGCACAATTTGGAATCTAAAGGACATTATTCCATGCAAGAGTCAAGCAGAAATCATAAATGCCTTACTAAAGATCTTATCTGAAGTTTTGGGAATGGATGCTGGTGAAACAGTTATTCAAATGAAAGAGACTGAAACGCAAAGATTAAAAACTGCTGCAGAGGCTGAGGAAATATTAGAGAACACTAATGGGGATGATTTGATTGAAGATGATGAAATGGAAGGAATTTCTCATAAGAGAAAAGTCAGAAGGAAAACTTTCGTTTCAGATTTACTTCCGGTAAGTCAGGTTGATGTTCTCAAATATGGATTAATACAGCTGTTTCTTTTTTCCAGCAGTTATCCTTGGCTTTGCAGAAAAATATTATAGCAAAGTTAGCTATAAAGGGCGTTTCGGCAAAAATGAGTCGTATTTTCCTGTTGATTCTCTTTATGTCATTAAAAATCTCCTAAAGGGGGAAAAGTCTTTTATCTAACGTGATAGTTTTATACACAGGAGAAGATTTCAGAGATGGGATAAACCTATCCTTTTGGAACACTTTAGAAATAGATGATCATCTTTGTAACTCTTGCATCTCCACACTTGTGTTACATACTGTCTGCCAGACTGTCTTCAGACTAAAGGAATTTGTACTTTGCCTGAATTGTCCCTTGCATTCTTGCCTCTTATTTTAGTATTTAGCCTTATCAAGGTGGCAAACCAAATCTTCATTTATCCACTGCTGATCCGCAGAGGTTGGGTGACTGTGAGATGAATGATGGTTTGTAGTTTTCTTGGAGTGGGTGATGGTGGCATAGTTGTGCTGGTGGTGTGATATTGCAGTAAAGGGGAGCAATCTGGGGTGCAGGAAGCATTTCAGCTGACAGTCTGCAGAGAGAGAGCCGTATTTGGGGAGAACACTTTGTTAAGGAGGAGAGCAAATAGGAAAACAGGGAACACAGTGACTGAGGCTTTATTCATTCAGGTTCACATTTACTGTGCTCCTAATGTATGCCAGGCACTGTGCTAGACACTGGTCATAAAAAGATGATTAAGATGTAATTTCCAGCCTTCAGGAACTTCCTCCGTGTTGGGAAGACAGACACATAAAACCATGGCTCTAAGGCCTGTGGCCCTGCACAGATTTCTAAGGGAATGGTATCTGTAGAGTAGGCCCTTGTGACTCAGCCTTTATGGGAGAGCTAAGGAAGAGGCTGCCAGAGAGAGCCTTTTGGACACAACATCTGGGGCGTCATAAAGGAGGGGGTAAGAAAAAGCAGGTTAGTGTTTGGAGAGCACACTCAGGCAGCTGGAGGAAGGAAGAGCACAAGGGGCCTGGCAGCAGGAGGACC